ATAAGAGAAGACGTATATAATAGATAGAGGAAGGGGAAGTGTTAATTAAGGGACTTAATTAAGGAAGGGGAAGATAGATATAGATGCGGAGGAGAAGGTTAGTAGATTAAGAGGGCGAGTTAATATATGCCCTAGTAGCTCTTAAGCTGCCGGATATGCGTTACGCCTCGACGCTCCCGTACCTCGTATACTACTCCCGCTCCGCTACGCTATAACTACCTACTTAAGCCGAAGTAGCTAATCGTATACGCTATATACGTGCTACCCTAAGCCGCTAGCTATATAAAGGATATAGCTTATAGCAAGGTAGAAGTAAACCCTACGTTTAAGCCTTTTACTTAAGCGATAGGGCCCTATAAAATAACCTATAGGGACCCCTTAGGTCTCTTAAGTAACTCCTATAGTTTTAAGGGCAAAACGACTTAGTAGGGGAGGATGTTCTTAAAGTCTCTACTTAAGAACTAAGTATATATGCCTAAGGCTTAAGTAGCTACGTAACTTAGGCAGGACTATATAGCCGAGGAATTTTCCCTTAAGTAAATTCAATCAGAGAGTTCATCCATTTTAGAACAAGCCATCTCCAACTCGCTTACATAAACACATCCCTACATAAGGTATCACTGTCTCCGCTGCGTGTTTTAGCGCCAAGTCCGTGCACGATCGAAATCGCTGATCGCAGGCCGGAGAAAAGGTTGACTTTGCGGCCGACCTCACTCCTTGGGCCACATTTTTCCCTCTCACCGCCGCGAAGCTCGAGGTGCATATACATGCTGCCTCCTTCGACAGTGTCGTCAGGCATCGTCACTTTTCCCACGCGATCGAAGAACATCGACTTGTGAAAGATTGTCCATCTCCCCACGGAAGGAGCTCAACCTCAACGAATCTGCTGTCCAGTCCCCACTCTTGCCACCAAACTATCGGTTCTGGATAGCACTAGTGCACCGCTCCTGCTCGATCTTCACATGGAAATCACTTTGCCTGCACGACAGCGCGTCTGACGGAAACCCGCGACTGAGCGGTAGTCTAAGCACTCCACGGAAGACGCCAGTACTCCACAGGAGACGCCAACACTCCACAGGAGACGCCAGCACTCCGCAGGAGCCACGTCCGACGGTTCAGCTGCTGCTATTGGCAGCAGCGTGGAGAGCAGAGCCTTGATTTCAATCGGCGTGGAGGCTTCAGCGCGCGTGGTAGGGTGAACCGGTCTTTTCTTTGCCTGCGCCTTCAATACCCACTTTTCCATCCTGCCTACTTGTCAGCTCTTTTCCCACCTCACGTCTGCTCAATCTACCCTCACAATCTTCACCGCCAGCTGTCTCTTGATATCACTTCTTCCCCACATTTTTCCTTCCATTTTCAACCCTCTGTTTACACTGTTGCTATCCAATCCCTCAACATGGCACCAATCGCACTCACCCCACCCGCGGAGCAGGCGAGGGAGCTCGCTTATGAGCAACTTCCTGATGCCTCCAACATGGGCACCAGCAGGAAGATTATCTGTTTCTCAGGTTAGAATATAAATCTTTCAAACGGCTGGACCTTCAACTCACCGCCTGCTAGACTTTGACGGTACCATTTGCATGGAAGTGAGTCGGAATGAAGTATCGGAGGCATAGAGCATTTCYCGATACCCAAGAACTTTGGAGACACATGCTCACCTTGCATTCTTTCCATCAGGACACAGGTCACATTCTAACCAATGCCTATGGATGCGGACCTGACAAGCGCGAGATCCTCGACGCACAAATCAAAAGCGGCGAACGCAGTTTCCGCGAAGTCAGTGATGAAATGTGGGGCTCCCTCGACGTCCCCTTTGAAGACGGCTTCAAAGCACTGGAAGAAGGCCTCCAACTCGACCAAGACTTCAAGCAATTCCACCAATTCTGCAGAAACAACGACATACCCTTCAACGTGATCTCCGCCGGCCTGAAACCCGTATTGCGCAGAGTGCTAGACCATTTCCTCGGCGAGGAGCAAAGCAGCAGCATTGAAATCGTCGCCAACGATGCCGTCATCGACGCCGAAGGCCACGCATGGAAACCCATCTGGCGCCACAACACGGATCTAGGACACGACAAAGCCCTCAGCATCGAAGAGTACAAAACGCAAGCCAAACTCGAATCCTCAGACGGAACCATCCCCATGATCGTCTTCATCGGCGACGGCATCAGCGATCTCGCCGCCGCAGGCCAAAGCGATTTACTCTTCGCGCGTCGCGGTCTCGCGCTCGAGGAACATTGCCTCAAGAATAAAATCGATTATGTCCCCTACGACACTTTTGCGGATATCCAGCGCGAAGTTGTGCGTGTCGCGAAATTGGATCAGGTCAAGACGAAAGGACAGGGACTTCCTGTTAAATTCAACCCTAGAGCCAATTTGTGGCGGAGGATCAGTTCGAAGAATGCTGTGCCCATTTTCAAGGCTATGACTCCTAGTGTGGAGGAGCGCGCGTTTTTGTGGCCGGAGACTTTGACTGAGAGGGTGGAGCCGCTGACTGGGAGTGTTGGCAAGGTTTCTGCTTGAGGGAGACGTTTTTTCTTTTCTTTTCGTTTCTTTGCATGATTGATTGATAGCTTGCTTTATTGATTGATTGATTGATGAATTGAGATTGGAAAGTTACAGATTGATACAGTTTAGCTAGAAAGTGACTTAATAGATGATTCTTTCTTCCTGCTGGAAGTAGTATTAAGTCACCGCGGTTTTGGGGGTGAAGATCATGTCGTCTTTGTTTTGCTCGGAAATTTCGGTTTGAGATGTGCACTCACTCACTCATGCTTAGTCTTATCAGACATGGCACATTATCCCCTCGAAAAGATAGGCAGGGTTCTTGCCACTCATATGAGCTTGGTATAGGTTCTTGATCGCTGCTCAACTATGTATGAGCATGGTTTGGTTCGTGACTAGATAGATGTAGGTACTCCTCAATCAAGCACGTTGAAATTCGTTGCACCTCGTAGACGGAATGGCGTGCTACATTTACACACTTCGAACGGGATTCTCTCTGTAAAAGACGCTTATATATACATAGGAGCTCTTGAGAAGACAAGCAACTGCTTAGGACACCGTAAACATAACCTYCGAGTGAGTTTGTGCGATGTTGTAGAGGACGCTACTTCCCCAAACCCTAACCCTAACCCTTGAAATGCCAACAGTAGACCTATACCTTGCAGTAGGACATTAAGGTATTGTAGCGTGAATACAACGATGAAGTAAAGTTCAGACATCGTACTCCTCACACAAAACCAGACGCAAACAAACATCAATCGATCGAAGCCGTGGAAAAAAAGTTCTGCATCTTGGTTGGTATCATCATAATCATTAAAACCTTCACATCCAAATTATCTAGATCTTCTTCTCAGAGACCTCAACCTGATGCACACTCTCACTCTTCTTCTCCCCGGCCTCCAGCGCATCAACCTTGGCATTCGCCTCCATGGCTTCCGTCTGCTGTCCAATAACAGCATTCTCGAATCGGGAACCCCTCTTCTCAGGTCCGAAAGCTGCCGTGACGGCGATACCAACGGCGATGATGGCAGTAGCGACTCCCATCACAGGGCCATAGGCGTCCACACGAGGTCCACCGACATCCTTGACGAAAGTTGACTCGGCGATGGCGTTCACGATTTGAGCGCTGGGGCTGGAGATCATGTTGCCCAGTTGGTAGGTGACTGCGATGGGATGTTAGTGTTCAAGCATGGTTGTTGGGAGGTCTCCTGATACTTACGACCTGGGAAGGTCGACCGGAAGGCTGGTGGGGACAGCTCGTTGAGGTGGATAGGAATTACTCCCCATGCGCCCTGGACGAAGAATTGCATCATGAAGCCAGAGGCAGAGAGAGATCCCATGCTTCCGGGAAGAATCCAGGCGGGGATGAGGCATCCGCTAATCAAAGCAGCTCCGACCATTGCTCGTCGTCGACCGACCCACTGGGAGAGATATCCAATGACAGTTCCACCAACGCATGCGCCTTGGAAATGTCAGTAATTTGTTGCTGTATTGTTATTTCACGCAACTTACCAGTCTTCATCAGGATAGATGCGATGCTGGCATCGTGGTTGCCCATACCCTTTTGGGTCTTCATGAAAGTGGTGTAGCTGTCCTGGCTGGTGTGGGAGTAGAAGTTGACTAGCAAATGTCAGGTTTCATCTCATCATGACCGGCTCGTTTCAAGCACTTACACCAGGTCATCAGAATGATGCAGTAAATGCACATCTTCCACTCCTGTCCCAACATTCTCTTCGTCTCATTCCAGAACACGGCGGGAGATGCACTCTTGTGGCCAGCTGCCTTGCGCTCGCGGAACTGCTGRCTCTCAGGGAAGAGGATTCGAATGAAACCGACGGCAATCGACAAGCCTGCTGCGATCCAGAAGACAGTCTTCCAGGTCTCGACAGCTCCACCAACACCCAGATTGGCACACGCGGCGCAGACGTAACCGAAAGAGTAGCCCTGTTGCATGATTCCACTCATGAGACCTATAAGATGGACGAGTTAGCTACGGTATGATCAATGAATGGCGTGTACTGACCTCTGGCCTGGATAGGGCAGTTCTCGAGAGCCATGGCGACGGCATTTCCATACACACCACCCATGAACAAGCCAAAGAGCGCGCGAACGGCCAAGAACTGGTTGAAGGTCTTTGCGTAGATGGTAGCAATTTGCAACACTCCAAGAACGATCATGTTGATAACCATGGGCCATTTTCGTCCATATTTGTCACCGGCCAGACCAAAGAATGCCGCGCCGACAGATCGAAGGAGGAGGGTGAGGGTGATGGCAGTAGTGATGTTGGTGTTTGAGGTTTCAAAGTATGAGGCCAGCTTAGTGGTCTAGACATGACGTTAGTGAGGTCAAACAGTCTCGATGTATTTCCGAGTCGTACCTGAATTGACAGCGCGTGGAAATCAAAAGCATCAGCAGACCATGATGCAAMGCCGACGATGAAGAACAGCCAGTTTGATGCGGACAATTGTCGCAGAAGTGAGAAGGGATTCGCCAATGGCAATGGTTTCTGCCACTCAGTATGCGTCTCGCCAAACTCGTTCGTAATCTCAACGCGTTGCTTCCATTTGAAAAGATCACCAAATGACTGTTTGGCCGTGGCAATGACGCCTTTTGCCATTGGCTCGGCGATCTCTCCAGTAGACTCCATGTTGTTGGTGGTTGTCGAGGTGAATTCTGGAGATGACGATGCAAGGGAGGGGGAGAGGGAGAGGAACAAAGCTCGAGGTCAGCTGAGAAGACTCTGATGTACGGGGAAGATTAAATTTTGAGCACGCGCTCCTTCCTTCTTTATCTGTTGATGAGTCTGAGAACAAGCGACATACGCTAAGGCATGTTGTGCGGCATAGACAGTCCACCCATGATGGCACAATGGCGCCTGGATCTTGGCGTCCGTGAGAGCTGTTCCCGTGCCCCTCTTCAGACCTGTCAACGACCCCATTCTTACGAGGTACTTGCCGGCAGGGACACACGCGGGGACCCCGCAGAAGGAGGACTGTGTGGTTCCAAACCCCAAAAGGCAGGAGAAACTCATCAAGATGCATCAAACGCTCCGAAATCCTCCGTTCATGATGGCAAACAGCGTCGCGACAAGCCTTCAAGGCAAGCGTGTGGCTCCGAGGTGTGGACGGATGGCTCAATTGGCAGTGGAGGCTTGCATGCCTTGTGCCGCACCGTTACGATGCGAGGAAGAAAGCCAAGACAATAGAGGCGTCTTAGCGGCTTGGTACCATGCATCTCCCATGGGGACGATTTGCACTTTCTACTCCACTCTCTCGTGGGAAACTCTGGGGCGCACGTGCGTGTACGCGCCGTCCGAACTCTTCCAACGATCGTTTGTGGGGACGTGAAAGCAAATTTTGGGAAGTCAACCTCCAGATACCAGGGCAGACAAAGTAAGACGAGAAGATGTCGCCAAACTGTCTCGCTCAATACTAAAGGTGTTGCAAACTCGACGGCTGAGGCTGACGGACCGAGACGAGGACGGAGACTAAGGGTGCTCGTCGCCACTGCTTGAGATTAACCGATCCCGCCATACCGCCCCGGATTACCCTTATTGGTAACAGAAGCGGCTGTCGAATCTCGTGGAAGGGCTTGGGATGGGGTCGATAGGTTTCAAAATCCTACCCTGCAGAACATGCAAGTGGCATGACCCGCAGAATTCAGCAGCCTCGGCGGCAACGCATCAGACAGAGCCGACAAGGCAAACCCTTTGTGCATTTTGTAGACTTTGTGGCACCAATGGGGCCACACAATCAACCCGCAGTGCCGCAATTGTTCGAACAAAAGCCTGCAGTTGCCGATGTTCGCAAGCCACAAAGTAACAAGCTGGAAAGTGTCAAACTCACTCCACACCGCACGGTGAAGGATTGCTCTCGTCCTCACACGCTAGACTACCCCAGGCTTTGCACCTTGACTCAGAAAAGCATAGTGCGCGCCCTTCGAAGAGCGCAAAGACCCTCGAGAGATACACGTGGGCTGAAAGTTCCACGCTGGATGAAGGCCAAAGGACAAATCGGAACCGGACGCGGTCTCGACCATCAAGCTCCGGTGGCATGTGTGCGAGTAATTGCCATTATCACACGTTGAAGTCTTGGTGAATCCATCGTGCTTCTTGGCCAGCGGATCCGTGCCTTGATARCGGTTGTATGATTCATTCAGGATTATTGCACCCTCCGTGTAGCCGCTTCACATTGCTTGGAAGTTGGAACTTGTTGAGCGCTTGATATCGCAAGAGTTTCTTCTATTTTCGTTTTGTGCCACAAACTTGTCTTGAACTCTTGGCCTCGGGGATAGTAGGAAAGCATGTGGAGACTGGGAGTGTTATCGGATACGTGGAGTGCATGCCTTGTGGATACTGTGATCTCCAAATGATGAATGGGGAATCGGCCCTTTCACGCGCTCCTAACGTGTGTGGAATTTGGAAAGTCCTTTGAAGTGACTTTTGTCTGGATACTTTTGCGATGTTGATGTACCACGAATCTGATGTCGACGTTCGTCCGAAGCCTTTGTACCAGGCATGAAGCCTTGCGCCACGCTGGCGAAGCATCGCCCAGCTTTGCGCCCCTGTCAGATGCTTGTGGAAATCCAAGCAAAGCGTGACTTTGCTTACCGGAGAAAAAGAATCGACGGACCCAAGGAGATTTAAATTTTCCGAGAATTGGAGTGAACATAGATCGATGCCCATGTCATAGACGGCTCCCACCGATTGTGGTGATTGAACGAGTTTGGTAGCCTTTTGAGCGACGGAAGTTGCATTTTCAAAACACAATATCCGGTGCGTGACGCCGCGACACAGCCCGAGATGCGGATTGTTCGTCGGCAACACATATACTCACTGTCATACTATACAAGTTCCATGAAGGGATGAATTTGAGTGGCWCTCGAATTCATGAGGCTGGTTAACTTGACCAGAGATGCGAGAGGGCCCTCGGGTTTCCACAACAAATTTTGAAATCCGAGCCACGACTGTGCCGCGCAAGACCTCCGTGCGCTGATCACGGCGAAGTACTGGGCGGAGATGAGAAAGTCTGGAGGAGGAGTCTCGCATTCAGCCCGTCCAGGCGAGATAGGGGAGCCAGCGATACATGGCAGTAACGAGCTTCTCTGTAACCTCCATCCCGAGGAGGGCCTCGAATCACTGTGACATAGCCGGCATGGGGTCCTGATCACTTTACCAACTCTGAACCACTTCAAAGGTGGCTGGAACATAGCGGTGACAGCTGTCAATGCCATGCAGCATGCAACGACCAAAGAGTAGGTCAACAAGGCTAGCTGGTCGCGTCGCCATGTCACTCCCACAGCACATAAGAATGAATTCTGAGCCCAGACCATTCTTACTCTGATGAACCATACTGCAGGGCGATATAGCCGCATAGCACACAAAGGCGATGCCGAATGAGCTTGCCGTCATGCCAGCATTTCCCATCTAGCAATGTTTCGAGCTGGCAGGTGATCCAGGCTACAGTATCGGGGTCGCACAGTGGCGAGCGTGACACATGATCCTTGGCAGCAGAGGTGAACGCGCGTGTAGTGGCCAGAAAGGCTTTGCGGAAGAAGGGCGCAAGAGTTGGCTATATGTTTGCCTGGACGATGTTGATTGCGTGGAAGGCGAGTGGCTGAGCGCACGGCAGCACGGCAATTTTTCGGCCGATGCCGCGCGAGGGTGACGTTGGGCTGGAATCTCCATGTCGCAGCATTGTACTACTTCATTTCGCTCTTACACCCCTCTCCTCTGTACTATTTTTGGCGGCCTGATCAGAGCAAACTGCTTCAGAGCTGCAGACCATTGCCTGCAAACACCGAAGCGAGCGCTCTCTGCAGCCATACCAGTAGACCGGAAACAGCGGCAGCGAGGTCATACGCAGGCCTCTGAACACGAGAGCAGGCCACGAGTATGGTATGGAGGACAGAGCGGAAGTATGGAGAATGTTACTAACTTCAATGCTCTAGGGAGTTACCAAGCGCGCCGGTCGCAAAAAGGATGCGCCGCCCGCTCAGCAAGGCGGCGGCAGTAGTGGGGCACCACAAATCCGCAAGGCAGCATACGAGACGAGCAAGAAGAAGGAGGTTGGTGTCTCCGATCTCACATTGATCAGCAAAATCTCCAACGAAGCCATCAACGACAACCTGAAGAAGCGATTCGAGAATGCCGAAATCTACACATATATTGGCCACGTGCTGGTCTCGGTCAACCCGTTCCGTGACCTGGGTATCTATACCGACCAGGTGCTTAGCAGCTATCAGGGAAAGAATCGTCTCGAGGTGCCACCTCATGTATTCGCCATCGCCGAGAGCGCATACTACAATATGAAGGCATACAGCGAAAACCAATGTGTCATTATCTCCGGCGAATCCGGTGCCGGCAAGACAGAAGCCGCCAAGCGCATCATGCAGTACATTGCCAATGTATCAGGTGGAAGCAACAGCTCGATCCAGGAGATCAAAGACATGGTTCTGGCAACCAACCCGCTGCTGGAATCCTTTGGAAACGCCAAAACGCTGCGGAACAACAACTCATCACGGTTCGGAAAGTACTTGGAGATTCAATTCAACGCCCAGGGAGAGCCCGTGGGTGCAAACATCAACAACTACCTTTTGGAGAAGAGCAGAGTGGTAGGACAGATCAAGGACGAGCGCAACTTTCACATCTTCTATCAATTCACCAAGGCTGCGAGCCAGGAGCACAGGACGAACTTTGGAGTACAGCAACCGACGACGTATTCTTATACAAGCAAGAGCAAGTGTTACGATGTGGACGGTATTGATGACGTGGCGGAGTTCAAGGACACACTCAATGCAATGCGCGTGATTGGATTGAACCAGGCGGAGCAAGATGATATCTTCCGAATGCTTGCAGCCATTCTCTGGATTGRTAATGTCTCTTTCCGAGAGGATGAGCAGGGCAATGCGGCGGTGGTCGATCAGTCTGTGATTGATTTTGTTGCCTACCTGCTGGAAGTGGACAATGCACACGTCAACAAGGCACTGACTACACGCATCATCGAGACGAGCAGAGGAGGGCGACGAGGCTCTGTTTATGATTCGCCCATGAACATCGCACAGGCGACCTCGGTACGGGATGCGCTCAGCAAGGCGATATACTTCAACATGTTCGACTGGATTGTACAGCGTGTGAACCAGGCGTTGAAAGCTAGGGGTGCCCTGTCCCACAGTATCGGTATTCTCGATATTTACGGATTTGAGATCTTTGAGCGCAACTCCTTTGAGCAGCTGTGCATCAACTACGTCAACGAGAAGCTGCAACAGATCTTCATCCAACTGACACTAAAGACCGAGCAGGAGGAGTATGCTAGGGAGCAGATCCAATGGACACCGATCAAGTACTTTGACAATAAGGTGGTTTGCGAGCTGATTGAGGAGAAGCGGCCACCAGGGGTGTTCGCCGCGCTGAACGATGCATGCGCGACTGCCCACGCCGACCCAACAGCGGCAGATCAGACTTTTGTTCAAAGACTCAATGCACTCTCTGGAAACCCCAACTTTGCGCCCAGGCAAGGCCAATTCGTTATCAAGCATTATGCCGGTGATGTGAGCTACGCGGTAGAAGGCATGACCGACAAGAACAAGGACAACCTGCTGAAGGATCTGTTAAATCTGGTCGGGCAGAGTTCCAACAACTTCGTCCACACCATCTTCCCTGACCAGGTCGATCAAGATAATCGACGAAAGCCACCAACCGCCGGCGACAAGATCAAGGCCTCTGCGAACGATCTTGTAGCGACTTTGATGAAGTGCACCCCGAGCTATATCCGAACCATCAAGCCCAACGAGAACAAGAGTCCGACGGAATACAACTCCCCAAATGTCATGCATCAAGTCAAGTACCTGGGTCTGCAAGAAAACGTGCGCATCCGGAGAGCAGGCTTCGCATATCGACAGACATACGAGAAGTTTGTGGAGAGATTTTACCTGCTATCGCCGAAGTGCAGCTACGCGGGTGAATACACATGGACAGGCGATGCGAAATCTGGTGTGAAACAGATTCTCAAAGACACGTCCATCCCAGCCGAGGAATGGCAGATGGGTGTCACAAAAGCCTTCATCAAAACCCCAGAGACTTTGTTCGCACTGGAAACGATGCGAGATCGATACTGGCACAACATGGCGATTCGTATTCAACGAGCGTGGCGCAACTATCTCAGATACCGAGCTGAATGCGCTACGAGAATCCAGCGATTTTGGAGGAAGAAGAGTGGTGGCCAAGAGTTTCTTCAATTGCGCGACGATGGTCACAAACTCTTGCAAGGCCGCAAGGAGCGAAGACGGTATTCACTTGTTGGATATCGTAGGTTCATGGGAGACTATCTTGGCATTGACAACCAGGGTGGTGCAGGTGAATTAATGCGCAGCCGCGCCGGTCTCGGATCTGGAGAGAAGACATACTTTTCGTGTCGATGCGAGCTTTTGGTATCCAAACTGGGTCGATCGAGCAAGCCCGAGCCGCGCTTCTTGGTGCTCACAACCAAGGCGGTCTACATCATCAAGCAGGCCATGGYGAACAAGCAGTTGTCGATTCTGGCCGAGCGAACAATACCCGTCGGAGCGATCAAATTCGTAAGCGCGAGTACGTTGAAAGACGATTGGTTTGCTCTTGGCGTGGGTAGTCCACAAGAACCAGATCCACTGGTTAATTGCATCTTCAAAACCGAGTTCTTCACTCAGCTTCGTGTAGTCACACGTGGATCGACACAAATTCAGATTGCGGAGACTGTGCAGTTCAACAAGAAACCTGGCAAGCCTGCTACAATTAAAGTCATCAAAGACCCGCAAGTTCCCCGAGATGACCTCTACAAGAGTGGTGCGATCCACACTGGACCGGGAGAGCCTCCAAACTCTGTGAGCAGACCAACGCCCAAAGGTAAGAGTGTGCCTGGCAAGGCAATTACGAGCGGCAAGCTCCTCAAGAAGAGCACTGGCGGCAAGCTCTCTCAACAAGCAGCACAAAAACAGGGTCGACCAGTCCCGCAAGCCATGCCTTTGCCCGGCACAGCAAACGCGCGACCGGCAGAAAGAATCATGCCACAATTCCCACAACAAGCGCAACCCCAAGCACGTGTCGTGCCACAGCCGAACGGTCATGCGAGAAATGCATCCGCAGCGTCTGCTCGCGCTGTGCCCCCTCCTCCTCCACCTCCTGCCGCTGCCCCTCCATCCAAAGACCCTCACTTCAAGGCACTGTATGATTTCCAAGGCCAGACGAGTGGAGAGCTCAGTCTTCGAAAGGACGAAGTTATCATCATCACCCAAAAGGAAAGCAATGGTGAGTTCACATCTTTTCTCGTGCTTGTTGTTGTGTCTTGACTAATATTCACATTGCAGGATGGTGGCTTGCCAAAAGAATGGACTCGTCGGCGTCTGGATGGGCACCCGCGGCCTATCTGGAAGAAGTCAAGGCCGCGGCTCCTCCCCCTCCTCCACCTATTGCAGCGAGACCACCTCCTCCACCAGCACCTGCTGTCTCTGCCGCTACCGCTGCTGCCAAGGGAAAGGTCCCACCTGCGCCACCCAGCAAGCGACCTGCAGGGAGGAAAGCTGCTCCAGCTGCGCCTGGAACACCGAGAGATAGCGGATACGGTACTAATGGAAGCGGTGATAGTAGAGCGTCTACACCTAATGGTGGTGGCGGAGGTTTAGCTGGAGGATTGGCCGCTGCATTAAAGGCAAGGCAGCAGGCAATGAATGGGAAACAGGATGATGGATGGTAGATTAGATGTACTTTGATTGAAAAGGCATGTTGGAGGCTGAGTGATGGAATGGCCAAGATTGCGATCTCCATAGATTGATGAATGTACAAGAGCTGTACAAAATGATTGGAATTATCAAGGCTCGCCTTTTTGCATTTCACGTAAATCAATTGACAGTTCTGGCCGCTGAATGCGTCGTCGGAGCGCAGTCCGCGGAACTCGGCAGCGCCAGTATTCCAGGGGTCGAGGCTTCATCTTCATGGATCCATCACCATCAAGCCAGACCACAACTTCACATTTTCGCCTGATGAGCACGAAAGCGATAGCGAATGTCGCGAGATGTGACATTCGTCGCTTCACGGCAGGCGCCAATCTATCATGGATTCATCGTTTCCCTGCCCAGCACCATTTTACCGGAAGATGGAGTGCGATTCGCGGAGCCAAGACGAAAACATCAATACCACTGAGTGCTCTACCTCAAGGTGCTCTGGCGCCATTACCACCCGATGAGGACGAGAAAGCTCCCGCTCGGACGTATCCGACTGTGATGCAGCAGCATCTCAACAATGTACGCAAGTTCAAGGATTGTGTCGTGCTCACTCGCGTGGGCGATTTTTATGAGATGTATTTCGATCAGGTGGAGGAATTCGCTCCGCTGGTTAATTTGAAGAAGGCGAAGCGGGCGACTTCGTTGGGGGATGTTTCCATGGCTGGGTTTCAGCATACTCAACTGGAGAGGTATTTGAAGATGTTTGTCCAGGATTTGGGGAAACAGGTCGCCATTAGCGAACAGGTTCCTTTGCCGGAAAGCGAGCGTTCCACGAAGCCTGGGGGCATGCTTTTTGATCGGAGAGTTACGAGGATTGTCACTGCTGGGACTCTGATTGATGAGACGTTCATGGATCCGTTGGAGAACAACTACTTGTTGGGGATTCATATTGCTGGAGTGTTACCTGCTCCGCCGAAGCCGGGAGGTGATCGTCAAGCGTATGAGAGGTATCGGCGGAGTACTAGGATCGGGCTCAGTTGGGTTGATCTTTCCAGCGGAGCTTTCTTCACACAGGMATCTGATCTGGCATCGTTACCATCTCTGGTAGCTCGCATCGGCCCGAGGGAAGTGGTGTTGGATTCAACGTTGGAGTCATCCGATCAGATGCAGTTGAAGAAGTTGATTAGCGATGTGCAGCAAACCATACACTTTCAAGATACAGAGCATGCGGCACGATCTGTAAGCGATTGGACGCCAATGCTAGAACGGCCTGTGTCGGCAGACAAAGAAAGCGAGTTTTTGCCAACGGAAGTGGCTGCTGGCAGCTTAGTATTGGCTTACATCAAGGACAAGCTGCGGGATGTGACCCTGCAGCTCCAACCTCCAGTACGCAGTACTGATGAAGAGTCCATGGCCATCGACAAGCAGAGTCTACGAAATCTTGAGATACGAAGCACACTCCGAGATGGTTTGTTCCAGGGCAGCCTGCTTCATGCGATACGACAGACAGTCACGAAGAGTGGTGCTCGCCTTTTGAGTCAGCGGATCGTCTCTCCGTCCATGTCTCTTTCAATCATCAACAATCGTCTTGATCTCGTTCAGGAAATGCTGGATCAAGAGGCCCTGAGGGAGGATGTTATCGCTTTACTTCGACGCACATTTGATACTTCTCGCCTATTGCAGAAGTTCGCCGTTGGGAGAGGAGACGCAGATGACTTACTCAGTCTGGCGAGAACCATAGAAGTGATGCAAGAAGTGACTAATGTCTTACATGACCATATTCTGGCAAATCAGGAGCGTTCCATGGAGGCTATTACGGAGACGTCCTCAAATATCCCCGCTGGGCTTGATCTTACTTTTCTGTGGGACATACTTGGGCGATTTGACCTGGACGGCCCTGCGAAAGCCGCAAAGAATGTCCAAGCTGCCATTGATGAAGAAGGTCTAAACCAGCAGCAACTTGCGAATCATGCTTCGGAGACAGAGGCCGAGCAGATGGCTGAAGAGGTTGTCAGTGCAGATGCTGCAGGTACGAAAGGTCCGAAGCTCTCAAGACGGGCATCCCGTTCATCGGCCGTTGAGAAGCCAGCGGATACCAAGCCAGACGATATCTGGATCATGAGAAGAAGTGCTTCCACCACCCTTGAGCGTGCTCATGGTGATATCGACAAATTGTTGAGAGCGAAGCAAGATTTGGCAGTGCGGCTAAGAAAGGAACTGAAAGCTGAGAGCTTGACTCTCAAATGGAGTGCGCAACTTGGCCACTTTTGTCATGTCAAGGGCAAGGACGTGCAAAAAACACTTTCATCTCTCGAAGGCGCGCGGACTATAGGATCGACCAAAAGCACAAAATCGTTCTACCTAGCCGACTGGACACATCTGGGGGTGCGTATTGATGATTCGAAGCTACGAATCCGCACGGAAGAGGAACGAGTGTTTGGCAAACTCCGAGCAGAAGTCCTTGAAAATCTCATGCGTCTGCGACGAAATGCTGCTGTTTTGGATGAGTTGGACGTCGCCTGTTCTTCTGCAGCAGTTGCCAAAGAGAGGAATTTGATCCGGCCTATTCTCAACGAAAGCACGTCTCACAAAATCATCGGTGGCCGTCATCCTACGGTGGATGCTGGCTTGAAAGAACAAGGCCGTCTCTTCACCTCCAACGATTGCTCGGTGGGTGATCACGAAAAGATCTACCTCATCACCGGACCCAACATGGCCGGAAAAAGCACATATCTGCGACAGAATGCACTGATTACAATCCTCGCTCAAACAGGCTGCTTCGTCCCCGCAGAGTACGTTGAAATCGGGCTCGTCGACAAAATCTTCAGCCGAGTCGGCTCAGCAGATAATCTCTACCAAGACCAATCCACGTTCATGGTAGAAATGCTCGAAACAGCCGACATTCTCAAACAAGCCACGCCACGCTCCTTTGTCATCATGGACGAAGTCGGACGCGGCACCACCCCCGAAGACGGCGTCGCCGTGGGCTATGCGTGTCTACATCACCTACAGAATATCAACAAATCGCGGGCATTATTTGCCACGCATTTCCACGCTTTGGCGGATATGACGAGGGATTTTGAGGATTTGGCATGCTGGTGTACGGATGTTGCGGTCGAGGGGGATGGGTCTTGGTCGTATGTGCATAAATTGAGAAAGGGGGTTAATCGCGAGTCGCATGCGTTGAAAGTGGCGAGGTTGGCGGGGGTGCCGGAGAAGGCGCTTGAGGTTGCTGAGGAGGTGCTTGCTGAGTTGTTAAGGGAGCATCGAGGTGGGAGTGGACGGGAGGGAGGGCAGGGATGAGAATGGGAGCTCGAGATGATCTTTGAAAGGCTGGGCTGATACGCCGGGGATGATCTTCTTCTCTCTCGCCACAAGCCATAGAACAAAATGATGGAACTACACTCTGCTGTAAAGCACCGAACGATATGGACTACAGCGATGGATTACAGCGATGGAGCACGAACAAGGCACACAAAAAGTTGATTTATATCTGTGTAGACGATCTCCATTCGATTGCTGCGCAGACTCTCTGATCAAGGACTCCTAGCTTCCTTCCACTCACGATCCATCGATACGGTCACCCACCTTCTTCTCAAGTGCAGCCCTGATGCCTTGCCTCGCAGTGAACAGCGGTGATCTTTCAACAGGCAAGCCGCGGGTCTCGATGGCAGCAGCGTCATAGAGAATCTCATAAACCTGCTCAAACATAAAGTTGCCGACAGCTTTCCGTGATTGCAGCATTGCCCGCTGCTTGAGGGAGCACGCTTTTCCGACATCGCGCAACGTATCAACACAAACTCGGAGCAGTCCAAGATAGTCAAATTGAAGCTGCCTCTCGTCCTCGAAAATGATCTCTCCAAGTACAAGCAAGATCTGGCCGGGTGTAAGTCTCTTAGTATTGGACCACTGCTCTGCGATGACTTTGTCTTTGATGCCACAATGTGCCGTTGCGTAGCCTCGTACTGCGTCATACATGACCTTCATAGGCAAGGAGCGGTCGCGTAGTACGAGGGTTCCGGTATCGTGTGCGCTGAAATATGAAGCGGATTGCAAGACCACGCCCTTGTTACTGATGACCTCGACGCTGGGAATCTTGGGACGATGACTGCCAGTCACGACTTCGAGTGGGTGTCCTAATGCCATCGCGTACTGTCTCGCTGCAGACAGTACGCTTCCGTTCCCATGCCGTAAGAAAGCAGTGCTCTGTCTGCTCACGACATGGTCAAGATCTGGCCAGTCGTACGACGTGCCATGCAGCAGTTTGGTGGCGTTGTGGATATGAGCGGCTGCGAGAACTACGCCTCTGCTATTGCAAAGAGCAATCTCGTTTCGGTGAGCTATCAAGCGGAGCTTCCAGGTCAAGTGACCCGCGAGTATGGGCAGGGTGTTGAGAACACTGAGCGGCATGAAGAACGCCTCAAGCTGATCGGAATTGGCTGAGAGATTCTGCTGAAGATTCCATCCCTCACGTCGAGCCTGGTCATAACAATGCGGCCTAGCAATGCAACATATCATCTGCATTGTATAGGGAGCTGTATCGGGCGTGTTGATTTTTGTGGGCTCGTCAAGCTGGTCGTACCACGCAATGTAATCGATGGCTTTGGTCTCGATTTGGTCCAGGATGGGCTCGTAGTCTCTGACGCCGCGAGCCAGGTCACCTTCTAGGAAGTCGTAGAAGTCCATGTACAGTTGCGTTGCAGCCACGAATCCAGCGTTCCAATGCGGCGTCGCAATGAAGCGGCCCAGTTGCTGCGTGTACTCATCCGCGAACGACAGAAAGCCGGCAATGGGGTTCTGAACTCCACGCCCGTTTGGAGCAAGGAAGCCAACAAATGTTTTCACGATGCTTAGTAGCGCTTTTCCGAATGGATGATTTGAGAAGACCTCAGACTGCTGTGCTCTGTGAGAGTGCTTTGTGCTCTTCATTTCTCTTGCGAGGCGGTTGACGTCCTGCAACAAGTTCCAAGCGGGGATACAAAGGACTTCACGGTCCAGAGTCAGTCCGGCATCGTTGTCGTGGGCAGACTGAGTGGAGAAGCTGGACATGGTGAAGAGGTCCTCTCCTAAGCAATCGACAATGTCTGTGAATGATGGAAGATCCGGATGCGCCTCATGAAACTCGGTTGCGACAACGATCGAGAGCTGCACTGCGTGTTCATGGAGTTGGCAAGCCGCAAGCATGCTGCTAGGTTCGCCGGCAACGAGTTGTTTGCGTGCGATAGCTGCTTGTTCTCTCAAGCCGTTGAAATCCTTAAGGAGGCCCCAGATCTCGAACAATGTCGTAAAGACTTCRTCACCCTCCAATGTGATTATCGTCTCGTCCGTAGGAGGCACTTCGCGCGCGTTACCACTAATCTCGCTCAACGGAAGGGTAGTCGACGATGTCAGAAGGTCGTCGCTAACATCTTCGAGGTCGAGGTGTAAGAACAGACTGCCGAGATCTGCCTCCGAGCTATCTGCTGCAGGTAGCTTGATTGTCTTTTTGCGCTTCGGTTGCCTCTTTTTCGCCTCTTGCTTCAGAATAGCGAGTGTTTCCTCGAGTGCTTTAAGAAAGTAGCGGTGCCTCGAGTTCGACTCTGCATGTTTCTTTGCGTCTCTCTGATGTGGGCGGAGGCAAGAGTACCAGTCGCAGCACCATCTGCGTCCGTTGATGACATCGCTGGCAACATAGAGCATCTCGAGTGGAATGGCAATCTTCGAGTCGGCCTGCACGATCGCTGTGGCCATACCCTTAAGCTCATCGACCGGAATGTTCTTGACTTTGGGTTGTGGCTTAAGTGTAGCCGCATGCGCGGTCGTCTGCTGGCTTTCTCCGTGTGCTCGCGCGCTTTCGTCGGACAGCCACTTGAGGAACTTTGCTGTGCCAGCTTTGTACCTCTTACAAGTATCGATAAGAGTATCTAGGGAGGAAGACATGTTGATTGGGATGCTGGCGTTCCAGTACAAGAATGTGGGAGATTGTGCTGTAGTCGAGCTGAAAGTCGTCGAAGTGTGGTGTGTAAGGACACCTGGAAGCCAAGTGGGTTCAAGTGAATATTCGGAGCCGGAGAATTGAACTTCCGGGCTGTGTGACGAGCCCGACCAATCACCAGCTTTCCATCTCAGCCAGCGGCAAGTCAGGGAGACTAGATCCCGGTGGGGAGCAGACGGGCCAGCTGGATTCGAGTTACCACAGAATGCTTTCGTGATGATGAGAGATAGCTGGATCCTCCGTGATTTGACAGGGATTCCTTTGTCGATTTAATGTGTAGTCTGAATCCTTGCGTATATGCGAGGTACGAGGAACATCGTTGCTTGGCGCTTATGTGGGCGCCGCGAGATACTAGGCTCGATTAGGTCGTAATATGAAGTGAATATAATAACTCGCACGGTCTGAGCCATCTTTGATCAGAGCGAAAGCTGGACCATACAATCTGCGTTTGAGTTTCTCTCTGTCGAGTTATAGCAAGACCGCCTGTGTTGAGTAGATGTTGCGGCCAGTGGTGGGCTACGATGATTCCAGCCCGCGTCTGTAAACATCGATGGTGTATCGAAGGGCGCGAATGACAAATAAGCTGAGTAACAATGTGAGTAGATGCCCATCAGTTACGCGGTGCGGTACGATTGACGAATTCATCACTCATCCTGCGCATCGTTCTTGCAGTTGGGAACTGGCAGGGGCGATGAGGACATTTTGGGGAGCTGGCCTCAGGCCCATCACTACACGATGTCCGGAGGCGGTCGCAGTACATCTTGTCCCTTGAAAGGGCTCGTGAAACTTTACGGCGCTCAAAAACGATGCACGATTGAAGAATTCTACTGTGGATGATGCAGGGAGAAGAAGGTGGTAAGGATAAAGTTGAGAAGATTACGTGAGCAATCATCTGCTTTGACTTTTGTCGCTTTGTACGTTTCTCCTCCTCTCTTTCATCAACATTCATCTCGCATATCCGGAATATACCAGACGTTACAGWGTTTGTGTACTCATCGCCATCCGTCATCACAGGCCAAAGAATTGCCTGGAATCTTCTTCAAGCTCAAGCAGAACTTTGTTGTACACGGCCTTTCGAAACCCCAGGTCTTCCAGGCTCTTCTTTGCCTCGTCGAGTTCGCAATGTATACAACGACGAACAACATCACTCCACCGCTTTCCGAACTTGTCACTGATGATTTCCATTCTCAGTAGCCGATCAGCGGTCTGGAAGTCGGAGAGCTCGCCCTTGGATCCATCCGCGTTCAACTCATCTTGCTCATGTAAGTCGTCAATTGACTTTCCCATGCACAGCTCGATGAGAACGATGCCGAGAGAAAACAGAGCCTGGTTCTTTATCAGCATTGCAGCTACTCCTCGTGGCAAACATGCAGCTGTCGTTTGAGCTTGGAGCTTCACATCTTGAGAGATGAATGGATGCTGAGATAAGAGCTTGCCGTCTTTACTGATCAAGGTGATGTCCTTTCTGCTCCACATGTTCTGCAGCCAGGGAGTGTCCCGAAGCGAAAGCATACCGGTCCTATATGAGGCCTTGTTAGCATCGTTTGAAGTCCGTTGCTAGGAAGCTCTCGGACACGACGAGTCGCTTCGCTGATGCTGTCAACGGGGGAATTCTCCAACAGATCGAAGTCTGAAAAGGCCCTTCTACTGATCATGAGACTGGTTTCTTGACAAAGCCTCCATGTTTGAAGGTTAAAGAGACCTCCCCACCGAGAGAGTCGCTCGGCAGAACACCGAGAGATCTTGTTGAAGGGCCCACCTCGTTGGAGAAGCCTCCTGTTGACAGCTCTCTGCATCGCGAACTCGACGAGTTTCCAAACTACTTACGCCAGAGGGACTGCGAGGCGGCGAGCATCTGCCCCTGTTAATCGATAGGATTGCTGCTTCTCCAGAACGCCGGCTAGAGACTGAATCGATAGAGGCGAATGATCGATAAGCCGGATTGTCGGTGAATACAAGCAATGCCTATGCTGACCTGCGAGGACATAGCCCAAGCAACTTCCGCATTGCATCGTCCCAATACTGTGGATGCTCTCGCAAAGATCGTGTATTTCTGTAATGTTTTGGATTTGCGTCGTGGAAGACGCGGTGCTCTGGATCGACTTTGGCGGTTCGAAAGTGACCATTCGACTTTGCGTACGTACAAACGATGTGCTGGTCGCTGTTACAACGGTGTGCGTCGCGACCGAGACGGGCGCCGTCGTCTCAATCAGCTTGATCTCGGCTTCCTCAATCGACCAGCGAGGCACTTTCTGCTTTGGATGCACTACTTCATGGTGCAGCACAATCCTGAAAGAAGTCCCCTCGGAGAGTGCTGAGGTCTTTTCCTCCATGTACGTTTCTTCCACCGTCGGTTTGAGGTACATACTGACTCTGTGCGGCTCAGAGCAGGATGTCTGCAGAGCTCTTTGAAGGCCATTAAAGACACTGCTGGCGCGTATCCTTATGCTTTCGAAATCTGGAAGTTTGCGTGATTTTAAACAGGCTTGCAAAGCGCGAGTCTGACCTGTGAGTCTCTCCAACACCACGTTATCGTCTCTAATCTCTTTGATCAGATCGAGGTAGCCTGACTTTCTCAACGCGAAGCCGAATCGCTTGTATGCTTTCCGGAACGAGACGGCCGTGGCTTTGCATGGTACCTACATATTCCGTCAGCCGCCATCTACATTGGACATCCGCACGACGAGGCTAACTTCTCCTTTAGGCCCGAGATGAAGACGTTCCATGAACTCGCTCAACGTTCTTGCAATGCCCTGTACATGTTCGATGTACAGCATGTACGAACCTTGAAGTCTTTGCTTCAAAGCCGTGCGGACTTTGTCGCTGTCCCAGCCCTGGTCCAATGTGTCAAGAAGCTGCTTTTGCGTATCATGCTCAAGACATTCACTGAGAAGAATCTGCAGTGTATTGCGGAACATGAGCTGTTCGGTCTGGAGCTTTAGCACCACCACTTCGAATTCAGCCGCGGCATGCTTTGTGTCCTTGATGGTCTTTACACATTTCTGGTAATGCTCCAGTCCTACGATACAGAGGTAGAGAAGTCAGTATCAAGCGCAGATCAAGCACTAGTTGCGGCCGATCTAGAGACGACGTATGGGGAATTCAGAGCTTGCCGCCTCTCTCGCCTTTCCTGGAGACAATCGACGACCACGCTCGAGATCGATAGTTATGCTAACAAGAACAAGCAGTCTTGCGGAGAGTCAAGTCTTTCCTTGGAAGTCTCTTCCTAATTCCAATCTCACCGGTCCTTGGACGCTCAGACTGGGAAGCTTACCTGAAATAATCAACGGAATCGTTCCCAGAACCACTCCAATAATCTCTATACCAGACATCGCGGCTGGTGTCGCGAGGATCTTGTTGTACAAACAGCTTCTACTCGTGTTAGAGATTGTCCAGATCCACAAATTATTTCGAATATCCCAGCGCTCGTGCGTTGACCGCGAAACAATTCTCGCAAAAGTATTACAAGCTCTGGGATTTGAACATAAAGAACAACGGCATGCAAAGAGATGTTGTAGTGCAAAGAGGTCGCTTTGGAGTCAGGCTATGAAGTTGCGGCTGAGGCTCTGGGCGCTTGCAGCCCACCGCGGCCGAGATCGCACAGGCTGCATGAGGCTGATAAAGCCGGACTTGGACCACGCATGTTGCATCCAGCCATCTCACCCTCAAATACAACACTCAAACGACACGATCCGTGCATGCTACATGTACACAGGCTATCTAGTTGGCCGTGACAATTTCGAGGCCTTGCCCCAAGGCGAGCGCTGACAAGTCCAATGGATATCCCTCTGCTTGTACGACGGTGCTTGGAAAAGTTCAAGGCACTCTCTATCAGCGAGACACAGCACGCAGAACGGATTCTGGATGAATCAGGACGATTTAGAATATGGGCTGGTAATGTCTCTGCACATACCTCAGGACGGAGATCACTTCAGCATAGACTGAGAGACTCATCCGAGTTGTCAAAGGCAGTGACAAATCATCTTAACAACCTGTTGAGGCATCTGAATGATGGTATGATAAGCGGAATTCCCCTAACTTCGCCTGCTGACATTATTACCAGTCTCGAGTCCTGCATCGGACGATGAGGAATCCGACAATGAGGCATCCGACGATGAGGTTTTCGATGATGTAGCTTCTGAAGATTCCACTGACGAGACCTCCGACGAAGATGACCGCGACCTCTTTGAAATGGGGGACTCCATATCCCACGATGTGCAAGCTCTTGAAATGATTGGGGAGATTATCAACTGCTTGATGCGTATCTCAATGGCTTTGAGGAATCCTGCTCGCAATGACCAGATACGATATGCGGAGACGGCACTTTCGAAACTGTTCGAGCCTCGTGATATCGAACATGTACGCATGAAGTTTCCATCGACCTCGGACGGCCTCACACAGAGGCTGRGAAAGTCCATTTCTCGCCACAGACAGTACTTCAAGTATCGCAAAGAGCATCACGAGAAGCTTGCGCATGGTATCGACATGGATGCTGATGATGAAGGAGAGAAACAAAGCACAGCGGCAACATCATTGTTCCAGCCGGAACAAATTCACCAACAACCACACCAAGTGGGTACTCCCAAGACGCATCGAGAAATACCACTAACCTGGTGAATCTTAGGGCATTGCCACTTACGACGAGTCCGACTTGGAGTCTGTTGGAACAGCCACTTCTTACGCCCCAAGCCAGACCGGAGACTCAACTCTAAGGCCACCTTCGCGACCATTGACAGCTACAGACGATCTTCCATTCGAATGCTCGATTTGCTATCATTTTATCAATGCTCCGAACGAGCGTTTGTGGAGACAACATGTCTATGAAGATCTTCCGCCATATATCTGTTTATACGAAGTGCGTATGAAGCTGCATCGGAAACTAAAAATATCTCCACTAACGAGATGTAGGATTGTAAAGCTGCCACACGCCAGTTCTCCCGGAGGCGAGACTGGCGAAATCATATGCAGGAGCACTTCCGGTACTGGATCTGTCCCTTTGAATGCCGAGACACATTCGAGACATCAGCTGAGCATCAAGATCATCTTCGGTCTGTACATTCAGAGCGACTTGATCAAACCACCATGATAAGTCTCAGCGAATCTTGCGCTCGAAGCAACAAGACTCCATTGCTTCGCTGCCCGTTTTGTGAGCTTGAGAAGCCGTCCCAAAACGCCTGGTTCAAGCATGTCGGACATCACTTGGAGCAGTTGGCTCTGTTTGCACTACCGAAGCATCTTCTCGCGCACGACTCGGATGATGATGATGACGAGCGTTTGAGCGATTCGGACGTGGAACCGGTGTCCGAAGAGGCCATTATCTTGGGACAAGAACCTGAGCCTGAAAGTGATAGAACCGCCCAGACCATCGAAAAGCCTGCAACGGTATCGGAGCTGATCGCGTTCGTTAAGAGCGCGCTCGATGCCGACGTGGATCGGCAGGAGTCACAGATGGGGTCAACGCTGGATTTAAGCCATAGGAAGCTCAGTACGCTGCCGCTGGAACTTATACCATTGATCAAGGACAGAGTCGAAAGACTAGCACTGTCCCACAATCCTCGCATTACTCTACCAATAGAGATAGGCCAGTGCGATCGACTTCGTTATCTGAATTTACGATGGAACAACTTGAAGCACTTCCCCGATGCTGTTCTAAGCCTGGACAAGCTCGAAATCCTGGACATTAGCAAGAACTCGATCGAAATTATACCGGAGAGTATCAAGCAGATGACCAACCTCAAATTCTTAGCCATAGCACGAAATCGGATCAAGCGTCTGCCCTATGCTCTGGGCGACATGAATCTCTTGAAGCTCAAAATCGACGAGAATCCAATCGAATTTCCACCCCCTGAAGCATTGAAGGAAACGACGAGATGGACGAGTGTGTTGGTCGAGTCGGAAAGGGATAGAGATATTTGTAACCGTGTCAAGCACTACATGAAGACCGGAGGGCGGCGCGAGATACGAGGGTTTGATGAATCAGTTCCTCTGAGCAACAGGACGGAGTTGATCGGCAATGATCTTGTTGCTGCAGAAGACTCTCAAGCGTTGAAGGTCAGCAAGCTTGAGATGGATCTCAACCAGGAAGAAGAGCCAACGGACACAATATCTGCCAAAGCCGACCTTACGTCCGAACTACCGCCAGTTGAGAATGACACTGAACGGACAATCTTAAACGATGAGTTCGATCTTTCATTAACGGCTGGAAGTCGAGATGGAACTGCAGAGACGCTACAAAGAGATTTCGATTGGCAGCAACGTGTTCTGCGGCAACTTTCGTTGAATCAGGAGAGGCTGGAATCTACACCAGGGAGTTCCAAAAAAGTTCCTGAAGACATCATCATCTCGGATTCAGAAGCTGAGCCCGAGAATGGGATGCCACCGAGTATTGACGAAGAGCTTCCCGCCAACCCAACCGAAGGTAATGATGACCCCGTGTTGGATTCTTTGGAAGGAAACATCTATCTCAAAGACGGAATCGGCAGGGTCCACAGCTTCCCAATACACGCATGCAGAACCATGGCTGATATGGATGCGCTTATCGAGCATGCTTTCTCTCATGTCGGCACGCATTACAGATACGTTGTTCACCGTCACTATAATCTCAGGGATCCAAGCGGCGAGATTATCACCCCTCAGACCTGGCCACAGGTAGTGCATCCGGGCTTGGAAGTTACCATGGAGTTTTGGGCCGCTTTACGGGAATCTCCCAACGGAAAAGAGACCGATGCGGCTTTGCTTGAGTTTGGGAACAACTACGATACAAGATGGACTCGATTTCCACGTGGTGACTTGAAAGTGATTGAGCCTGAGTTTGAATGGATTAAGGATCTTGGGGATCTTCATGCTGGATCCTCATCCAAGACACCAAGAAATGTCTCGCCAGTGGACCAGAACAGGGGTCTGAAACCCGAGCATCTCGACATGGAGTCTCTGTTCAGCAAGAGCAGAGATGACGATAATAACATCTCGCTCGGTGAGATCTCGCCGTCGCGTGATGATGACTTTCCTCCGTCGGATGATGAGGTATATAAGCTATCTGACCACGCAAAGTACAGCGACGAGCAGCTGAAGCAGTCGGACAGCCGACGTGTTGGCCACCCTCTATCCCCATCTTACGCCGACAATCTTCCTGATGAAGCTGTGCTTGCATCCCCTGAGCAGGATAGTACCTCTCAAGATGTAGCCACTTCCTCCGAAAGCCCCACTATCCCTGGAACCGACGAAGGCCACTACAGAGACCATCCACTATATAGCGAAGGACCGCGCGCTGATGGCCTCTATCGCTGCCCATTCTCAACGGATCCGAGCTGCTCGCACAAAGCTACCACATCTAAGAGCAGCTACGATAAGTTCATCGACTTCCACCTGAAGCCATTCCGCTGCAAGGTCGAGACTTGCTCCCAGCAAGCGTTCTCTTCCACAGCCGCTATCCTGCGTCACGAAAGAGAGGCTCACGGTATGCACAGTGAGCGCCCTCACCTTTGTCCTTATCCAGGCTGTGAGCGTGGGTTGTCTGGTAACGGATTCCCGAGAAGGTACAACCTGTATGACCACATAAGGCGTGTCCACGTCAAGGATGAGTCTTCCACTCGCGATATTTACGGTGCCTCGCCAGAAGATGTGGAGCGGGTTCCTCTGGCCAAGCACCTTGTTACAGAATCGGAATCTAAAGAAGTCGAGAGCGTGACGCAGATCTCGTCTACAGAGAGTGCATCGTCGCGCATTGAACCAGACCAGACATTAGGAGAAGGGCAGCCAGAGTCCTCACTACAAGCTTCCAAGCCTATATCAGCTTCTCCTGCAGCGACCAGCTTTGTTGGAAACACAGGTCGAGCAATTGAAGATTCTGACCTGGCGCCTGGACAGTCACTATTTGGGAAGGATGTTCGACAAGCGATCTCAAACGATGTGCCCTCTCCTTTATTAAAAATTGAAGGCCGAGATGGAATTGCCCAAACGCGACAAGAAGAGTTCGATTGGCAGCAATCTACTCTRCAGCACCTTGCGAAGAATTCAGAGGAGCTGGAATCTACAGGGAGTTACCAAAGAAGAGAAGCCAATTTTACCGCTCGAGGATGGCCCAATCCATTTGGAATTGATGAAACAATGCCCAATTTATTCGAAACTGAAGAGAAAATGCCCAATCCATTCGAAATTGAAGAGACATTGCCCAATGCAGACTTGGTTCCCGAAATCGAATACCCCAAATCCCTTGGTCTGCATGGTGCGGGAGACAAGTTCGCTTCATACGCCGACTGGATCAAAGTAAACAACGCGATGGACGCTCAGGGAAGTCTGGCCCCTGACTCTGACAGACCCCGTGAGGAGAAGTCGCAAACGCGCGCGCTGTATACCCCTGAAGTCAGAGCGGATGTCATGGCCCACAGAAATGCCGCTGATATCGCCAACGGACCCGCCGCCGAGACCATTCTATCGACTGCTCCGCGAATTTCACATACATCCGGTGTAAGCGATGGTGAACAGCAGAATCTTGAGCTTGAGGAGTCAGCGTCTGTGTTAGATATTGCGATTGACTATGCCGCATGGAATTCACGCCGACGGGACCAACAGCAGGATGCACTTCAAGTTCCCACAGTCGCTAGAGGGCGTGTCCGCGCAAAGCAAGCCTCTTCACCCTCAGTGCGAAATCTCCCAAGCACCCGAAGCCCGGCCAAGTCCCCACACCTACCCGCCTCAGTTCCTGAACAATCTGATACGGAACTCACTGCGTCCCGCAAAGCGAGCACCAAAAATCCCGCTACCTTCCAATGTACTTACTGTTCGAAGCGCTTCACCAGAGCATATAACCTTCGCTCGCATCTTCGCACTCACACCGATGAACGACCGTACGTATGCACGGTTTGCGGCAAGTCGTTCGCTCGTCAACATGACCGAAAGCTCCACGAAGGTCTGCACTCTGAGGAGAAGAAATACGTGTGTCGTGGTACTCTCCAAAGTAGTGGTTCGCAATGGGGTTGCGGCAGACGATTTGCTCGTCCAGATGCTCTTGGGCGTCATTTCCGTTCCGAAGCTGGACGGGTGTGCATCGAACCACTTCTCCATGAAGCAAATGCGGATCGAAAAGGGGGACAAGAGGAGCCACCTGCTGAGACTACCACTCAATTAAAGCCGAACGTCTCTGATGGCCTCTTCCCGACTGCGTTATTGCGGCAGTATCCTGCTCTGGCGGGTATTGATTCGAATAACCCTCATCCGAGAAGACCACTACCGGATGAAGGATATGACGGAGATAGCGGGGGTGAGCACGCTACGGATGATGAAAGTGTGATGTTTAGGAGGACCGAGTTGTCGTAAAATATCTAGGAGAACTAACTGAAGATCTATATTACGGCTACTACATGAAACGCTTTGTTTGATAAACTTACACTAGCAACTGTTCTATATCGTTCTGTTGTATAAGGAGTTCAACATAAATATGTTAGGCCGAAGCACCGTCATACGATTCTATATGTCTGACTTTAATTTGCCTAGAAAGGGACAGCAGCACCATTCACCGAATGTGGTGCTCGCTGCTGCATTCCTCAAAGGCAAGCATCTGACACAGCCTCTCATACGCCACTGGATGATACAAAGATGAATGTGATGCGCAATTCATTGTTATACGCCAAAGTCGCCATTGGCACCGGAATCCAACCCACGTTGTAGCCGTACGCTGAATCAGTGTAGAAACAAAAATCCCATAGCAGCGTCCCCCATCTCCCCCTCCCTTCAAGAAAAGTCATCCATATCCTCAAGAATATCGCTCGTACGCTCATACCGAGAAGTCCAGCATTTTCAATATCACATTATGGATATCCAGACTCATATCGATAGGGAATTTTCCCTCTCGGTATCTATCTCGAATGACATCGTCCTGTGTATACTCGCAGAGTTCCGGAAAAAGGTAGCTGTCCATGCCAAAGGTGGTACAAAAGTGTTCCTAAAGCGAAAAATATCTGTTCTTTGAGAAAATTCGTCGGCTCCTGCGAGTGGATGGCGGGACTTTGCGTGTTCTTGCGCCATAGATTCCAACTCGATTGTCCCGTCAGGACGAGACAATTGACCCTGGAGATCCCCGATTTTGGCGGCAATCCTGTTGTTGTTGTTGTTGTTGTTGTTGCGGAGTAGAAGTCAAGAATACATTGCGAACATGTATGTCACAGTGGATGAAATGGTGTTCGTGGAGATGAACCAGACCACGAACGACGTCTTTCCCAATTTCCACTTTCTGATGATTGGGTAGGATGGTGCTTTCTTTCGAGTACGTCGTGTAATGCTCCTTGATCGCAATATTCAAGGAGGAGGCCATCCTTGTTGAATCCCTTGTAGGCTTACCAGGTTTTCGTGAAATCCAATCCGAATGTAACGATCAGCTTCCGCGAGGAGACTTTGTAGAGCGGAGTGGGTTTTACAGAGTGGGTATTTGAGCACAGTATGACCATCTTCCATGAGCCCGATGTAATGCTGTCCAGAAGCCGCAATGTATTCTTTCACTCCGTCAGGCTGCCAGTAGAGACTACTGGGGGACGGACGTTCTCATTCATTTCCTGGGGAATAATGAAAGTGATTGTACGGTTGAAAGACCAAGTGTAGACAGATCATCTCAAGTTTCGGTGCAGTCGACCCAACCGGCCCGTTGCCGCCCCCCGGCGTACCTTACTCTGGCAGGTAGGTATCTTGACTACGACAAGCTTCCACCACCGGATGAGGAATTTCAAGACTAACGTAGCGTAGATGAGTTTGATTTGCTGCTTCCAACTAAGATGAATCATTCGTGTGCCGAACAGAGGTTCCGAGAAGAAGGGAAAAAGAAGGAAACATGTGCTCCATAGGCTCACGTACAGAGAACGTATGAAACAAGGTCACGCAGGGTAATGCGTAGCTTAGCAGTTTGAAGCATAGATGTTGACTTTACGGCACTCGGCGGCTAGATGGCACTATTTACCAACCTTCTCAAATGATAATTCAAGGAATTGATTCGACAAGACACAAGCCATTCAAGCCCAAACGCCCACCAGCGCCATCAACATAGCCCCCCCAACCACACTCCCACAAGCCAACAATCTCCTCCTCCCAAAAAGTTCCACATAACTCTCCTCACTCAAAAAGTCCTCAGCAAGCAACTGCACCAACCCCGCATACATCAACAACCCACAACTAACAGCATTAACAATCCCCACCATCAAAAGTCCCCCCATACTCATCGGATCATAAAAACCCTGCAACCCCAACCCCAAAGCTTGCCCCACGGGGGTCGTGATACCATACATAAGAGACATGAGCCAGGGTTTCGGGGAAGAGGTGCTGAAAGATGCAATGGCTGCGATGCGGGAACCTAGAGCTAGCCCTTCGAAAGTTTGGTGGAAGGATATGGCTATTAGGAGGACGATGAAGGAGGAGCCGGTGGAGACTGAGAGGGCTAGGCCGATGAAAATTGAGTGGAAGAGAATTCCGGCTTCGAGCATTAGACATTGGAGGACGGCGCGTTGTTCGCTGGGGGAGTTGGGGTCGATGTGGTGGGAGTGGGAGTGGGAGTGGTTGTTGGCGTGGGAATGTGCCCAGGAGACTTTTCGGGTATGTTTGGGGCGGAGGGTCGCGTTGTTGTTGTTGTCGTCTGATGAAGAACGGTGTCCGGTGAGAGGTTGTGTGTCTTCTTCTTCTTCTTCGTAGACTGCTGGATCCAACTCATCGAGATCGAGATCCGAGTCCTCTTCATCCTCGTCATCTCTATCCCTCGGGGGAGTGCGAGGCAGAGGTTTATTCACAGATGCACTGCTGATATCCCCATTACTAACATCTCTATATCCTCCCACTTGTCTCCCTCCTCCTCCCAAAGTACCTCTCCCTGCAACTCCACCACCACCACCCTCCACAACCCCCGCCTCCCCMCCCCYCAAACTCTGAAAATCGACCGTCTTATGCGAATGACCCGCCCCTCTCGTCGCAAAAAACATTTCAATCCCCACAACCACCAAAACACTACACATAGCAATAAACCCCGGCATAGCAGGGTACGTATCCGTCCAAAAAGGCGGCAGACACGGGTCTGTGAGATTCGTGTATGCCGTAGGGAGGAGATGGACAAAAGCCGTGGCGATGAGGACTCCCGTGCCGAAATGTCTAGAGATGAAGAGGGCTTTGTTTGGGACGGGGAGGGAGGGGAAGCGGCGGACTATTAGGGGGAGGGAGCAGGCTAGTGTTGATAGGGTGAGGATGAGGAATAATGCGAAGACGTGGATGCCGATGTTGTAGGGCGTCGTGGAGGATTTGTTGGAGCCGCATGTTGGGCGCGGAGGAGGGTCTTGTTGTTGTTGTTGTTGTTGTTGTTGTCGGCGTTGGAGTTCGGCGCGGAGGAGGGCGAGGGGGATGGTATGGATGATGGCTGGAAGGATATATGGGTGAGTATTTGATGACTGTCACATGCAAACAAAACAATGCCGAGTGAATGAAGCAAGCAAGATAGGAGAATGGGGAGTTTTGGCGTACGTTCTGTCACCCCATCTTGGGTCATGATGGTCGCGAGAGTGTGGGTATTGAAAATGTGATACCCTGCACAACCATTGTACAATCCACGTGGTTGGGAGATGGGAATTGTGCGAGGAAGGGAGCGCACCTCATGCGTCGCGGACTTTCCAAGTTTCAAGCTCGGTCGATCGTTTGTCCAAGCCCCCGGGTTGATCCGCGCTCGTGCTCGGAGCCTTTGCCGAGTCGGCTGCTCCCGGAACAGGGGTAGCTTCCACTATCATCACCACGGGCACCAATACGAACACCAACAAATTCATCCAAAACCATCGATCAAGGTGACATCAATCGTATTGAACTCTTCGGAGCAAGAAGGTATACACGTACATACACACAAACCTCCCACAACAATCACACCCTCACTTTTCCCCCTCCTCAACTTTCCCCCCACCCGTAGTAGGCAACCCCATAAAAATCTTAAAACTATCATAAATCATCCACTGCAACCCCGTAAGCGTCCCAATCATCACAATCCTCACGGGTAGACCGTTCCACAGTCCTGAAAACCCTATATCTTTATAAATCCTCCCAACAGCCTGGCCAAAACCTTCTCCGGCTTGTCGATTGGCATTCAATTTACTAACCATGACGTCCGCGGGATGACTGACAATCGCACAGAGGATTCCCGCGAGGTATCCACCGCTGAATGCCACGCCGGTCTGTTGGAGGGAATTGTAGTCGGATTTCTGGCCGGGGAGGGTTGCGTAGATTTGTTCAACGATGGTTTCGAATGAGGCGACTGGTTCGTGTGCCTCTTGGTTAGTGTGCTTGCTCGCCGAATTTACTTGTGGGGATGGGAGAAAGACATACATTTCATCATGGTATAAGGGATTTGGCGGCCCCAAAGAGGTGCAATGCCTTTGTATAACCCAGCGACTCCTTCAGTAGCGACGATCTTGCTGATTCCATCCCAGGCTCCGTTGGCGAATGGTGGCATGGTGGTTTGCATGCGGACTTTGACGGCTTCGAGAGGACAGAGACCAATGTCTGCGATGAATTCTGCGGAGGCGGACCCGGCGAGGTAGACGTAGGTTTTGTATTTTTCGGCATTCTCGGCGCCGACTTGGTCGGAGTAGAACTATAGGTAGAACTGATGATCAGTCGTTGTGGAGATATCGATGGATGAATAGTGTTATCTCCCCACCTTTTTGAAGAACTCGTAGAAGCCATACTTGAAGGCTCCTTGTACTGAATATCCAAAGAATGTAGGCGAGCCTCCGGTGTACAGTCCTCGTACACCCTCTGCTTTGATGATTTTACGCCAGCCGTCGACGTTGCCTTTGTAGAGCTTTCCGTCGATTTGACGACGGCACTTGACAAGATCGAGGGGAGTCACCGCCCAATGCGTGGCGCCGCAAGCCATGAGACCACCAAAGGTACTAAAATGTCCAATACATTAGCACATGCGGGTGGGGCTGGAATCAATACTTCTGTGCGCTTTACCATGTTGCGTAGTACTTGGGACTATAAAGCTCAATGGTCCCGGCTTTGGCTTGTGCAGCCTTGGAGGCTTTGGTCAATTCAGCTTGGGCAGCATCGCTGAGCTGGGTCGCCTTGTTCTTCGCGTCTTCCGTAACGCTCCAGGAGCCATATAAATGGGAAATGTCCTTTCGCTGGGCCGAAGCGGGCTCTCTTTTGGGTGATGCATAAGGTGATGCATGGGCAAATGTAGCGCTCAAAGCGCTGGCAGATGGGAATAGGGAAGGCATTTCGAGATTGCTATCTTGGGAAGCTGATTAGCTTGTGTGAAGCTCTATGAACAGTTCCACCCCATTGAGATGGATGTGGTTCATTTTGTATGGAGAAAAACAACCCTTCACTTACTTCACTCTGCTTTGCGCAGACAATGGTATCAAGACTCGGTGAAGAGCAGGACTTTGACAAACGAGAGAAATGTTGCGGCTGACCTGGTCGTTTACATGCCGCTGCTGCCGTGTGACGTCTTACTCGCCAAGATCGGCAAAGGAGTTATCGGCCATAGCGAACTTTTTCGCGAGAAATGGGAAAATGAGCAGGAAAAAGAGAGGAGAGACGGAAACAACGAGATGATTCCATCGTCAAGAATCATCATGATGGTCAATATCGCTGTATACTGTTATCCCTCCACCCTGACCACAATCGGCTTGGAATGAGACATGTTCGTGCCAGCAAAGCGGAATCAAGAGAGAGAGCGAGGCCCGACGAATCCTTCCAAGTTTCAAGGATCGCATTGGTGGCCTGAAAGATGTTTATGCCGATGCCGATGAGCCGTGTGGTTACTTCAGGCATGTGATGTGATGAAAGAATATTTCCATCATACGAAGCCGAAGTGATGCGCACGTAAGTTGTGATGTGAAAGAGGAGGAAGGTACGAGTTCGACCAAATTCCCCGCCAAGAGCATGTCATCATCAAGGATGCAAACCTTCGTTGAATAGTCTCTCTCTCTCTCTCAATGCAAACACAATTTCAACTTCCACGCACACCCACCCAACAGCACACACAATGTCGGCAACCACAGCCCCCACCACGTCTCCCTCACCCTGGGCCAACAAATACCGCGGCGTACGTCTCCCTCTCCCCAAACAACCCCCACCTAGCGATATCTAGATGTAGTAGCTAAACCAACCCTCAGGCCACAGTAGAAGACCTCGACCCACCCCCAGCCCTCTCCACCTCACCCCTCTCCCCCATCTCCTCAGCCCTAACCGCCGCCTACGAACGCGACTACACCCACCTGACAGTCCTCGACCCTTCGACCAAAACCCTCCTAGGCTACGTCTCGGCCCCACATCTCCAATCCCTGCTCCAAAGCCACAAACTCGCCGATCAGGATCCCGTCAGCTCTGCCATGGTGAAATTCCAACGAAAGGGAAGGGCGTATAGGACGATTACTATGGAGACGCCGCTGGAGGAATTGGAGGAGTTTTTTGAGGGGGGAGGAGGAGGGAATGGAAAGCAGGATTTCGCGGTTGTGACGGATCCTGCGAGGAGGTTTGTTTTGGGGGTTGTTACGAGGGGGGATTTGGAGAGGTTTGTGGAGAGGAGGCCGGCTTGATTTTTTTACTTATGTCGAGGGATGGATATTGGTGGGACGTGGGGTTTAGCGAGGCGTTTGATGGTGTTGTGTGTTGTGTTGTTCATGGCGGGAGGTGTGTGTGTGTCGGAGTTGCTCTAGGTCTGGTGTCGTTTCGCTGGTCAGCGGACAAACTATGGTCACAGGATGAGTCTAGGATGGATGATCAGGCGTGCATACCCAGAGGTATGGCTTGGCACACGATACAAAAAGTGAAGGATATCCAATGTTATGGGGGAAAGCAGCTGCTCTGCTCCCTTCACCTGACTTGACTGTTGATGGTGAATGGTGAAATGGCATTGAGCGAGACAGCGTGCCACTATCGCTATGACCTTGTAGAGCTGTTCCAGCGTTCTGCAGAGGAAGAATGAGGCTCAAGATGGAGAGCCAAAGGGTGATCTAGCCGATTGCAAAGCATCACACCGCTGAGACAGATTTCCTACACCTACTCTGCCGTTACCATCATTGATACAGGCTTGCTGTCTCCCGTACATTCCTGATCATTTCGGTCAAGGTGAAGTAAACGATGCATAGAATAGCTTCGAACGAGGCTCAGCAGCCAAAGTAGTGCCCAGTGGCTCGACTATACGAATAGACCAATATGACGTCCCATCGTCGATTGCCATGCAGCATGCCCAAAGATACACCATCATCCTCCCATGTGCCAGTCTCTTCCATTTTCCAATGCGCACCAATGATATGCCCTCCCTCTTATCAGCATGCATCTTGGCGGATGATTGCCATCACGTCATACATACTGCAATCCTCCTTCGCTCGCGTTCCCCTCCACATTCATTTCCACGCAGATTTTCTCGCGTACCGACCGTACACGAATGAACCGGCGCCGATGGCCCAACTCTACCCGAACGAGGTAGGTGTGCAAGCAAGAAAGAAGAAGGATTGATTTGGCAGATGATTATTTCGGATGATTGTGGATATCAGTCAGGGTTTGCGTCATTTTCTTCCCTTCCTATTCATTCTCCCCATTCCATCGTGTGATCTCTCTCTCTCTCTCCTCTCTTCCTTGTATGTAACACAAAGGAAGTCCGGACCGTCCCTTCCAACTTCTCCCCCTCACAACTCTATTCCATACATTTCAACTCCTAGCACATCACAGCTGGGGGTCCTTCTCAATAAATATATACAACAACCTCACCATGGCCCAATCCAACATCCACTCCACAGGTCGCGGTGGTAAGCATTCCTCCCGTCCATCCCATTCCAATCCTCCCAGCTAATTTTCTGCAAGGCGCCGGAAACATCGGCCCCGATGACAACGTCTACGTAGCCGGCGACATCACCCGCGAAGGCATCCACGGCTCCTCCAACGCCAAAGAATACTCCAACGGCCGAGGCGGAGCAGGCAACATCATCCCCGCGACCGAGAAAGGAGCTTCTATCGATGCCGTCCCCGAATCCGCCACGCGACACGAGGGTTCCATGGGGTATGATAAATTCCACACGGGGAGGAGTGGGGCCGGGAATGTGTACAAGGAAAAGTATGGAGGTCATTCGAATCCGCAGACTCCTGAGCAGAAACCTGTCAAGGAGGGAGGGATTGTGGAGAAGGTGAAGCATGTTATGGGGTTGGACAAGAGGGAGAAGACGCCTGAGGTGGAGGGCAAGTGAGATGGGAGGGAATGAATGAATGGGTATATCGGGTAAAGCAACGCGAGTATGGAAGGGGTGTGCTTTTGGGGTTTGGGGGTAGGATGATACCATTTGATATTTGATTTTATGACCTTGAAGTGGGAATTACGATGCCGCATGTGAATTGCAAGTGAGTGAGCTGATATGAACATCAGGAACATGCACCTCTTCAATTATTATTCCTCCCAAACAACAACACAAGTAACCTCCCCATCAAGCTCCACCCTAGCAACCTCCTCCCCCCAACCTCCCAGAAGCAACATCTCTCTCAAGAACAACCACAGCATGACTATTCTGCAATCCCACAGCAACCAGATCCCCAGCCATATTAATCTCAAAAGACCTAGGAAAACTCCCTCCAGCCGGCGAAAGCTGATACACATCCCCCAATTTCCCCTTCCCCTGCCCCCCATCACCACCCAATTGGAACGTAGAAATACTATCCCCCATCTCCCCAAAAGCAGTATCATTCCGATTACTAACCACCAAAAATCTCCCATCAGGAGAAACTTTCACTTCAGCCGGCGCATTCTTTTCCCGGAGTAGCCACATTTCCCGTCGTGGGCTCACTGCCTAATTCCTGAAAATTCTAGTCCCGAATCATCGGAATTGTAAGTCACAGAATAACTCGTTACTGTTCCCCGAGAGTTCGCCTACGAGGTACATATACTACGTCTCTCCTCCTCCTTTTCCTCCTTCTTTTCCTCCTCCTTCTTCTTGATGATCAGGAGGTGTCCAGAAAACTAAAAATGCCTCGGGTCCAGTCCCAGTCATAACAACCAAAGATTTCCTCTCGACGTTAATTTTATAAGTCTGAGAGTCGAAAGTGAAAAAATTCGAACGAGATCCGATCCGAGATCTGGGAACTAAGAGGTATTTTTTCCCGTAGGATCCACAACGATCTGATGAGGATTCGGCGGAGGAGCATTATTGGGAGCCACGGGATCGAAATGTATGTCTTGAAGATGTGAGATTTTTTTCCTGTAGTAGAGGAGATTTTTAAATGTGGAAATCGCTGCGCCGTCGTAGTTTTGCTGTGGCGAGGAGGAGGATTTCTGAGGATGAGGAGGTTGGTGGCGTAGGAAGCGGAATTTACGGGTCCTGAGAGGGTGTTGATTGTGGATAGAGGAGTGAGAGTTCCATTTTTTTGGGGGAGATTCGGAGGGATGTTAGGGAGGAGTCGGAGTTGAAACCTTCGTTGATGCAGAAGAGGAGGTTGTTGTTGTTGWTGTTGTTGTGGGGGTTTTTTGGAGAGTTGGAGCCAGGAAGGACTGCTTCCGCAGGTTTGGGACGTGTGGGTTTTTGTTAGGGTGTATTTGTTGGAGGAGTGTGTGAGGGAGAGAGTTGTGATGAGGCCGTCGTAGGAGGAGACGTAGAGGTTGTTGGTTGCTGTTGTGGCAGATATCGCTAGGGAGAGGAGCAAGGAATAATGCATCTTGAAGGACCCGACAGCTTGTTGGAAAAAGTTGAAATCGGATTCCTTATTTTACATGTAGTTTCATATAGAAGGTCATGAATATCTCAGGCGTCCAATCCACTGTCCTTGGACCTCATCAAGCAAAGACAGAACGCCTGGTTTCATTAGGCGTCCACAACGCTAAAAGTAAACTTGACCCCCCCCCCGACTTGTTCCGTCCGGATCGACATGCTCATCAATCATCATGAGGACCTTGTTGGAGAGTTTTTGTAGAATGATGGTTGAATTTGAGAAAGAGGAACACTTTGGGGATTTTTGTAGAGATTCTTTTGGTATGAAGAGTTGGATTTTCATTGAGGGGGATTGATTGGATTGATATAGAAAGCAGGAATAGGTCTGGTTGGTTGGTTGGTTGAGTGAATGTATAAGAGATCATTATTCGTAGGGTTTTATTTTAGAAACTATTTAGGTAGGTAGTAGGTATCTTAATAGGTGGATAGCTAGCGTTTCTTTCGTTCGTTCTGCATCAAGATGCGTTCGTTGGAAGAGTATATATCTATTTAAGCCTCTCGGGCTAGGATACTTTGTATAGATATCTTAAATCTGTTCACCCGTGATGAGTAGCTAGCTATAAGTGAATGGCAACTTAATGCTAAAGGCCGATAAGCGATTATACGAACCCATCTATAGCTAGCAACGATAATAGGTGTTACTACCTATTTCATACATGTATCTGGTATTACACAGCTCGGGGGTGTTAGGCGTCCAGGGAGACACCATGCCTAAGGGACGCAATCTCTAGTGGATTTATAAGCATTTATACCGACTTGATATATACATCTCCATCCGAAGCATCCTCGTCTGTTCCAATAAAATTAGCCCAGTGTGTCCTACCATCACCCAGCCATGGAATCCTCGAATACCGAACGGCTCAACAACCGTCGACATCTCAATCATCAGCCCCAATCGAGTTCTTGATGTGCCCCCAAGTGCATTCTTAACACCGGATATCCCTGGAACAGCATACAGCGATACACCATGTCTGTCATTTTTGATCGAGCATCGAGACCGCAATGGGAATAATATCACCCGGCTTCTCTTCGACCTAGGAATTCGAGCAGATTGGGAAAATCTGCCTCCAGCTGGTGAGTGAGTGGGAGAAAGAAGTCCAACCATTGATATCATTTTGACTCCCACTAATCAATCCCCCAAACCAGTCATCTCAGCAATAAAATCAATGAACATCCTCATAGAAGAAAACAGACCCGATGTAGCCAGCACTCTCCAAACCCACAATATCCCCCTCGACTCCATCACCAGCATCATCTTCTCCCACGGGCATTTCGACCACATAGGCGACGCAACCCGCCTCCCCCCCCAAAAACCTGCAACATCATCGTCGGACCGAAATTTCTCGAAACCCTCTTACCGGGATTTCCCACTAATCCTTCATCCTTCGTAAACGAGGACGCATTTTCGAATCGAGAGGTGATGGAATTGGATTTTGGGAAAAGTGATMTGGAAATTGCAGGGTTGGCTGCTATTGATTGGTTTCGAGATGGGAGATTTTTATATCCTTGATACACCGGGGCATGCTGTGGGGCATATTAGTGCTCTTGCACGTACAACTTTGGGAAATTCAGCAGCGGGAGAAGGGGAAGGGAGTAAGGATACATTCGTCCTCCTCGCTGGAGATGTTTGCCATCATGCAGGTGAACTTCGCCCGAGTTCTTTACAGCCCATCCCCGAGACACTCCCAACTACTACAAAGGATCACTTCCAAACCCGATCGGAATATCAAGAAAAACACCCTTGTCGCTGCTACGATCAACCTTTCTACAAGCCCTCCACAGGGGGTTTCAATTTTGACGTAGAGGTTATGCGAACTACGGTTCAGAAGATTTCGGTACTTGATGCGGATCAGAGGGTTTTTTACACTGCTTTCGCATGATTATTGGCTGCTGGATGTTGTGGATTTGTTTCCGGGGAAGGTTAATGGGTGGGAAGGGAAGGGGTGGGGGGAGGGTGCTAGATGGCGGTTTTTACAAGATTTTCGATGAGGTATTTTTTGGTTTCTATTTTTTGTTTTGAGAGAGGAGATGAGGTCGGTATATCTTGTCATATGGACCTGGCTTGATATGAAATGTGTGGGAATGTTGGACATTGCGTTGAGCCGAAGCCGGCCCGAGCGTTCGAGTGAGTGAATGTTCAAGTAAATGAATGTTCGAGTGAATGAATGTTCGAGTGAATGAATGTTCGAGTGAATGAATGTTCGAGTGAATGAATGTTCAAGTGAATGAATGTTCAAGTGRATGAATGTTCAAGTGGATGAATGTTCAAGTGGATGAATGTTCAAGTGAATGAATGTTCAAGTGAATGAATGTTCAAGTGAGTGAATGTCCAAGTGAGTGAATGTTCAAGTGAGTGAATGGTCAGAGCGCGGAGTTGAGATTCACGATTTCTCTAGATTGAATGCATGTACGCTGGAAGTTCCGTGAACTCTACGGATAGAGAAATTGCAATTGTTTCTATAATTCTTGCTGCCATATCACACATCTCTCCCGCTCCAAACGAGGCTGAGCTAGATTATCTACAAACCCCATTCTCACAGTAAATCAATCTTAACAATAAAAATCTCCCAATCAACACTTCCCTCCCACCCACCTCCATCAATCCCCCTCAACCCCTCAAGTACTCCCCTTAGGACTCTTAGGCGCCTTCTCCAAATCCCAAGTCTCAAAGAAATCCAACACATAATCCGTAAACTGCATCGATCGATCCTTACAATAACTCCTCCCCCCATCCCCATTCTCCGGCTCCCTCATAACAGGCCAACAATGCCCCATTTCCTCCCCCTTATAATGCGTAACAATCCGCTCATACTCCCCGCAAGAATAAGACGTCGCCTCGAAATTCTCCGGCGCGACGGGTCGATGAGCAGCAGCATCATCGGGTTTGGCATTTTTACCACAGGTTCGTTGACCCCACCAGGAAACCCACTGGTCGATTTGTGGGATTTTTTTCGTGTGGCAGTCGTAAGTTGAACTGTCCGTGCCGTCGTAGCAGATGGTTTTGTCTTTTGCGCCGTGGACTTCTAGGATGGCGCGTTTTTTGGGACAGAGTTTGAGGTAGGCGGTGCTGTTGTCGTCGGTGTAGAGTGCTGGGGCTGCCATGGCGAATGCGGCGAATTGGTCGCCTGTGTTGGAGCAGGCGAGGGTGTCTACGAAGCCGCCGCCATCTGGGATGAACGAAAATAATTTGTCAGCGTTTTGGGGAGTTTGAGGGTTGATGAGATAAATCTAGKGGTGGAATTACTGCTCTTTCCGGATGCGTAGATTCTGTTCGTATCAATGCAATATTGTTCCTTGATATGCGTCACCAGATCTTGGGTGAATTGGAGATCTTCTGCTGGCGTGGTGTTTGTGTAAGGGGCTCCACCCCAAGCTTGATCCTCCCCATCTTTGTCGACTTTACCATTGGGGTCTTGAAGAGATTAGTTTCTATCGTTACGTGATGTGTTTGGGGAATTTCGGATCATAACTCACAAACTACCACATACTGTTTTCCACGAGAGCTCAAATCATACTGCGAATTTTTGTGCTGACCGTCTGAGGTTGAATGAAAGTCAGCTGTGAGTCTTCCGGCATGAGAAGGTGGGAGTTATCGTACTGGCATCACCCTTGGCGCCATGATAGTCTAAGATCAAGGGGTATTTATGGTCGGCATCGTAGTTCTCGGGAACATAAATGGTGTAGGTACGGTCTGAGTCAAGCGTATGACTGGCGGTGCTATTGTTGTAACCGGAGTGATGTGGCTTTCCACACCCATCATCCCGACGTTGAAGAGGAACGGTTGAAGCGCTGGTAAGCAAGCCAGAAGCTCCGAGGAGCAGGAGAGCTCGTTGTTTGGTAAACATGCTGTATATATATCAATGCTGCGATGGCGAAATGATGAGAAGGTCTATCCGAGACAACAAGATAGACTCAATGATGTTATTTATCTAATGTCTTCCAAACACTATACCAGTAGCGAGTACCTCGTACATATGGACGCCTTACCAACGATCGACATTCCCCAGAAAAAGCCAGTCCTCCCGTGGCCGGCCTGAAAAATGACACGAGGGACCATTCCGTCCGGGCTTCCGATGCGGCACTCCAATTAAAGCGTGCAGCATGCATGGAAGAATGATAACCAAGGTTCGATCCTACATACCTTCAGGGTGGGTGATCTTCGTAGCTAATAAAAGCGGTGACAAACAAGCCTTTCGCAAACCTTGCCAAAAGGGGTAAAAGATGATCCTTGGCAGGTCTTTTGCCCTGATGGATGGAATCGAAGGCTCAAATGACATACATTCACTACGGTCCTTGCTATGWGGCATGCGATTTCGAAAGACCACGTGGAAACCACAAGCATCAATGACCTCGCAAGCTCTACTAGATTGGGAGTAACTTTGTTGTTACACATCAAGGCAGTCCGTTCGTGGACATGCCAGTGGCTTGATGTCCGTTGGCCGTTTGGAGGAGCGAGCAAATTCTTCAACTCCTCTTGAAGATACGGCCATCTTCCTTGCTATTTCCGTAAGCAAGCAAGTACATAGTATCTATACAACAAGGCCACGTACTCGAAATAGAAAGAATGCGCTTGAACCTTGGACGCCATTGAATTCATAGCCTCGCAACGTCGCCCGCAAAGAGACGATTTTCCACAGCAGATTGGTAGGTATCATTCCAGACTTACTCTCGAAGCCAGGCTACAAAGAAGTCGACAAGGTATAGTTTTTATCACATCCCATATAAGCAAGCCCAAGGCATACCAATATAATACCCAAGCTTCTCCAAGAACAAAAGACAGCACCATAGAAAGACCGACCCTATAATATCAAACTCGTGAATTCGAACACATATGTATGCTAGAGATCCCACTAACCATCTCATCACTTCCATACCTGTTTCGTCCTTGGTATATACATTCCCATCAAATCTCCAACACGCCCCCTTGCCTCCTAAGACTCCCAAGGCAGACAATATATGTCCTGGTATGCCACTCACGCACGCATTCGCCTACTCATTCACCTACGCATTGCACTCACGCGCTCACGCTCACGCACTCGCGGGCAGCTCACGCATTCACGAGCACGAGCAGCTCACGAGCAGCTCACAAACTCACGCACTCACTCACGCACTCACTCACGCGCTTACGCTTACGAACTCGTACTCACGCTCACGCACTCACTCACGCTCACGCGCTCACGAGCAGCTTACTTACTTACGAGCAGCTCACGCATTCACGAGCACGAGCAGCTCACGAGCAGCTCACAAACTCACGCACTCACTCACGCACTCACTTACGCACTCACTC